CCGTCTTTTTGCATTTCCAGCCTTACCTGTCACAACGTGGGCACAATTTTTTTCTTGCAAGCGAAATGCTTTCCTCAAATCAAAGCTTGTGACTTCCTTTTCATTGCTCCTCATTTCGAAGTGGTGCAATTGCGTGCTCAAAACTGCTGTCCCCACAAAGGATTGCCACACCTTTTGCCAAGACCAGGCCAAACATCCCTTCACCGGCTTTGTATATGTTGTAGATGCCAGTTTAAAGGCAAAAACATTGTCTGATTTCAGGTGTACTGTGTGACCTGCTCTTTCAGGTATTGACAGCTTTGGCGGGAGCTCGACCGAACCATCTGGCGGAAAGGCACCCCTAGCACCCATTGCTACTGCAAACTTCCTGGAGCAGCTTGGGCATCATGGCTGCAGTATTGTGCATGAAGTTAACTTTCTGATTTGCCAGTTGGTCTTACCAAGGCTGTGGGAGGAAGCGAAATCAGTGAGACACCGTGTGCAAAGCCGACCTCAGGCCCTGCATGGCTCTGCATTCCTCCGACACATCTTACTGATACTGTCCTGTTTGTACAATTTTTTCTTGATGCAGGCTCGCAGGCACAGCCGACACTGCAGAGTCTCTGCCAAGATGATTCAAAAGGTCTGTATCGAGTTTGAGCAAGGGTGGAAGCAGTTGGAGATCGTGGGAGGGTGTTTGATCAGGTCAAAGCGCCGAAGCTTGAGGTAAAGGAAGAGCTCAAGGCAGTGGAAATATGTGAAGGGCTCATGTCCACACCCGGCTTTACTTGGGCTCCACTAGTTGTGTCCTACTTTCTCTCTCCACACGGAACAGGACAGATCCCAGAATTTTTCCATCTGGCCTTAGTGCATCATTAGCAGCACCAGGCATCACTTCTAGCCTTTCCCAACCTTTGCAGAAGACCTTGTCGGGAGGGCTGCGAGATTGTTCAAGTGAGCTGCCCTCGTTTTTTTTAATGCACCATTATAGATGTAGTCTACTGTTCAGGCGGTGTAGCCATGCAGTACCCTCCACGTACGCCACCTTACAGTTCGCACATCTTTTGCACAATCTTGTTTTTGTGCATAGGGGCCAAGCCTCCCAAAATCCACTGCCCATTCCCGCACCAGGTCTGCAGACAATCTCCATTCATCGATCATTGATTGACCCATGTACCGTGTCATCTTACACAATATATGTTTCAATATTTTCCCTTGTCTCCAGATGTTGTGGGACCCTGAGACAATGCATGCTCCTGAATCCGCAGCCTCTTAGAGGCTTCCTGCGTGGTCTTTTTTCCTCTTGCAAGTGTTTGTCAGCACGAGAGCAACGTGCTTGCATTGATCACTCACTTTTATCAAAGTCTAGTCAGTGTGGCTGCAGTCGGTTGGCCTGCCCTTTCCAAAGCCAAGTTGGTTTGCTCAGCATGCTGGGACTGGGAGGGCCAGTTGTCATTGAACCTGCCAAGCCTTGCATTATTAGCATCAGATTGTTCACTGGACTGAGCTGCTGAACAAGGGCCGGCAGACTGGAGTTGACTGGTTCAAGAACCTCGCACATGCCACCCCTTCTGCGAACAAACCTGGTTCAAGAACCTGGTTCAAGCAAACCTTCTGCGCTGTGCACAGGTCAAGCCCGAAATCAAGGTGAAAGAAGAGCTGGAGGAAAAGGTGCTTTTGAGGTGGGAAGAAGCACGCCCACATACAAAACACAACAAGCACGGTTCAACATCAGTAAGGCCTTCCTCAACGGCCCGGCCAGTTGCAACACCTCAGGACTGCCTGGATTTCATTCATCCCTCACCGCTTGTTCGCATTCAAAGAACCACAGCCATAGGTGTCTTTTGACCAGCCTCTACGCGCGCTCCTCGACAAATGCCCGCAGCCACCGCAAAGCTCAAGAAACATGTTGGCATTTTGCATCGTTACTAGGAGCACGGATGCTACTAGGAGCAAGGACGCTACTAGGGGCTCCTGGCATCGCTACTAGGAGCAAGGACGATACCGGAAAGGATTCACAGTCAATTGGTTTGCTCTGCTAGCTGGCCAAGGACCTGATGTTCCTGGTCTTCCTCAAGACTTTGTGCTCGAGTTAATGCTTTGTACGTTGTACTTGTGTCTCTTGTTGTCATGTCACGGCATGCGTAGATGTGTCACTCACAAAAGGCGTTTGCAAATCTTGGCTGAGGTGTGGGACAGAGATCCTTTAGTAAGAGCATTGCAGCAACTCTATTCCAGAGCTTCGGGTGCCGATGTGGAGAAGCACTTGCATCTCAGCCCATGGTCGGCAGACCAAGAGGTGCGACATCAGGGCAGAAGTTCTAACTTGAGTAGCTGAAATAGCATGCAGTCTTGATCATCAGATTCCGTGATCTCTACAGGCCATAAAGAATCTAGCCCGCTCGTCAAGGGAATTTGTTCCAGCCTTGCTCCAAGTTTGGGTTTCGGCGTGTTTTTTCTCCCAGCGCGGCAAGATTGAGGCGCTTGAAGAGCTTCGCAGAAAAGCCGTGGACCGCGCGGTTTTGCTTGCCGCAGAGCGTCGCAAGAAGGCCTGCGTCAGCTTTCTTGGGAAAATCCGAAAAGCAGGTCGGGGTGCTGCCATGGTGCTTAGAGTGCAGGTCAAGGAGCAAGATGCGGACCAGGGTCACAGTGAAGGGGAGCAGCTGGGTAGAAAAGTCCTTGTATATAATTGGTCGAGTCACTGGCCGCAAAAATGCTTCAGTGTTTGATACACTGCACAGAGGCATACTGAGTCAATCTGAGTCATACTGTCCAACCAAGGAGCAGCGGGCTTGACTTCAGCATTAGCGATCACAATGGTGAAGACCAAACTGTTGCAACGAAGCCAGCTTTGCTTCTACCTGCCGGCTGGAGAACGGACGCATGATTGACAACATGACAACCATAAACTGCGCTGTGCTGATGATTGTTCTTAGTCCATCTTAGTCCAACATGATCGTGGGATGCTAGCACCCTGAACTGTACGGCAAGGAATCACATCGGAGAAGGGGGCGAGAACGCCGTGTTTACACTGACCCCTTTGGTAGAACATACTGGACGCTTGCAGACGCAAGAAAAGTGTCTCGCCTTCAGTGCACCAAGTCAGATGGAGAAGGGTTTATGTTGGTAGTGAAGATGACCGCCAATAGGGGAGGGCATCGGCCATCGCTATTAGGTTGGAGGTTATTGCTGGTAGGTTGGAGGCCATCGCTCTTGGGTGGTGTTAGTGAAGATGCCGCCAATAGGCACAAACAAGGCCACCGGTGTTGCCATGCCCCTCAACTCTTGATTGCTGTTGGCAGCGCTTTTCAATGCATATCCAGCTTAGGGGGATGGAGCCACGGGAAAGTCAGGAAACCAATGGACCAGCAAAGTGTTCTGCTATGTTCTGCTCAGTTCGAATTCAGTGTCCTCACCCGTCGTTTGTTTGCTCAACATGAGGTGATTGATGCCGAAAGGACAAGAGGCTTGACGTGTACTGTGGGTTGCTTTGATTGGCCTGGCTTGTAGTTCAATTCAATACAAAGAAGCCAACAGCTGTGATTTGAATTAAGGACAGAACATGGCCAACCTCCTCAAGAACAAAGCAAAGACCAATTCAGATGGGACAACCAATTTATTGACTTCTGGCGACAAGGTGGGAATGGATGTGTCATTAGGACTCAATCTCATTCTTGCAAGTTCAAAGCGTGATGTTTGGGATGACGTCGGGAGATTGGGGCGCTTGCGAGGTAATGGATCACGATTCCAAACGGCAGAAGCTCACTTGACAGTTGGATGTGGCGGTTTGCCGCCATTGCCATGTTATGTTCTTTTTTCCCGAATGCGTAGCGAAGGGTTCTCGTTTAACTCTTGGGGGGTCTGGGGGTAGAGCCTTGTTCGTGACCCGTTGTTTCTAAGTTGAGTGTGCCCTACAGGAGTGTCCCACAAGAGTGTCCTACAAGAGTGTCCCACAAGAGTGTCCCACAAGAGTGTCCTACAAGAGTATCACAAGAGTTTCCTGCAAGAGTGTCCCACAAGAGTGTCCCACAAGAGTGTCCCACAAGAGTCTCCTACAAGAGTGTCCCACAAGAGTGTCCCACAAGAGTGTCCCGTATGAGTGTCCCACAAGAGTGTCCCGCATGTCCCACAAGAGTGTCCTACAAGAGTGTCCCACAAGAGTGTCCCGTATGAGTGTCCCACAAGAGT